TCTCTGTCTGTTTGGCGAGAACTTGTTCTGTAGCAAAAAAAAAAATAAAATAAAATAAAAACAACAAAAAACTCTCCAAAAAAAAAAACTCTCCAAAAAAAGAAGAAAAAAAGCAAATTACTCTAAAACTACTAAAAACCAAAGAAAGAAATTCTTAGAGACATCAGTACTTGAAAGGAGAAACTAAAACAGATGGCTGACTTCTGAATTAAAACTATGAAAACTGTAAGATAATAGGATGAGGGACCAGCAGTTGGCATGATGGCTATGTTCCTAGACTCCCATGTAGTCGACTACGGTTCGGGTCCCGTACCCAGTGGTTTAAACTCACACCGGGCACGTATGTGTGCATGCCCAAGATCCCGAGAAGGGGATGGAGGATAAGGGATTGCAGTGTGGTCAACCCCCCTGGGGGATGATTTCTCGCTTTCTGCCTCTCTGTCTCGGGTGAGCGTACATGCCCTATAACAACAACAACAAAAAGATAATAGGATGACATTTCAGAGGTGTGGAAAAGCAAATGAAATGCCACACCAGAATTCTAACTCTAGTTAAAAAGCTTTCAAGAAGGGACCAGCAGATGGCATAGTGGTAGCCAATGACCGCAGTTCGAGTCCTGGACCCGGAGGCTTGAAACACGCTGGGCATGTATGCGGGCATGCCCAGAATCCAGAGAGAGGAGAAAGAAGGGACCGCAGCGTGGCCCTCTGCAAGTGCACGTGCCCTATAGCAAAAATCTCTTTCTAAAAAAGTAATAAAAAGGCTTTCAAGAAAAATGCTTTTCTAGACAAAGGTGAGTTAGGAGACGGAGTCCGCAGTGGCTCTTTAGACAACGCTACGAAGCACACGTGGGCAGCGGGACGTCTGGGAAGCAGAGCTGCACCAGGAGGGGGCGCACTGGAGGGAGCGGTCTAAGCGAGGACCTGTAAGACAGGAAAGGCGACCCGACCCGCGGGACTTAAGATAGCGAACAGGCCTTAGCACCCTGGGGACATGGTCGAAGTAGGCCTTTCCACCAGCCTTTGACAAGATGAGGATGGACGAAACAGAAGAGGGGGGCCAGCAGGCGGCGTGGTTAAGGCCCTGGACTCCCACATGGCCGACTGAGGTTCGAATCCTGGACCTGGTGGCTTGAAACTCACACAGGGCACATATGCATGCCCCAAATCCGGAGAGCAGAATGAAGGAGAGGGGACTGCGGTGTGGCCGTCCTCCCTGGGGGGTGATTTCTCGCTGTCTCTCTCTGTCTGTCTGACGAGCGCACATACCCTATAGCAAAAACCTCTCAAAAAACAAAAAAAAAAGTCGTTGCAAGAAGAAAGGAAAGTGAAGTGACCGGCAGTGAGACGGCAGGTCCTCGCAGAGCCGCGGCCTG